ATAACCATGGCATTCTACACGAACGCACATATACATCATAAAAAAAATTGCACCAATGAAAAGTATGCATAAAAAAGAAAATTCGACAAGTATATAGAGTCAGTTGCTGATATTATTCCCTAACAAGTGGACAGGGTGATTCCCGAAGGGTCGGTCTACGAAACTCTGGCTTCGGGATGCTGAAGGTGACATCTATCAGCTCAGAGCCAAACCTTTTACTTATACTATATATATATATATATATATATATATATATATATATATATATATAATGAAATAGATTGTCCAACAATTATTTAATATATTTTCTGTTTATACGTTATGTTTTAAGATACAATTTATTTAAGTTAATGCTCTGTTTTTTAATTAACAATGTTCGAGAAATTTCGTAGAAAATGTGCGTTCTCAAACCTTTATTTCTATATGGAAACCTTCATTTGATCTGACGTGTTATACCATTTAGCTACAGAGAAGTGTCTGGTTAGCAAAGTCCAAATTACTGTTTATATAAATAACGTATAAACAGAAATACACACACACACACATACACACACACACACATATGTATATATATATATATATATATATATATATATATATATATATATATATACATATATACATGCATACATATATATATATACATACATACTTACATACACACACACATATATATATATATATATATATATATATATATATATATATATATATATATATATATATATATATATTACTAAGAAGAGAGAACTGCAAACGTTTTTGGTTGGAATGTGGATTTTTAAAAAAAATATTATGCTTTATTTTCCATATTTTTTGCTACATGTGTTTCTGGTCTCGAGACCTTCATCAGGCAAGGCGTGGAGATTTACACATATTATTAAAAGTAAATAATTTTTTTCTTATGTTTTTCGATGTTAAATATTCTCGATATGAGACATTCTCTTTTTTGTGTGTTAGTGGTCCTAATGTCTTCCTGAATTGAATATATATGAATGAAGAATTCATATATTTCTATTATTATTTATTCCAATATTTTTTTTTATAACTTCACTCGTTATTTTGTATGGGTACCCTCCGTTTATTTTGAACACACTTTATTACGCCTACCGGCCTGCCTACTCGAGTAAACTTTATAAAGGGAATGTGATTTCCGGCAAGTTTCGATGAAACTAAGCAGATATTGTGAAGCTCTCCATAAACTAGCATTAAAACCACGCCGGACCAGACAGCGGTTGCTCCCTTAAAAAGGGGGACCAGTTTCGAATGTTCACCTTCTAATCTGGCGCCATGAACCGGACCAGTGGCACCTTTAGAAAGGTCCAGAAATCCTTGCCGACGGTTGACCCAAGTCGACGAATATAAAATACCCCAGGAAAATGCCCTATTACATCGTTTAATATTTGAGCTTAACATTTTTTATTTTTAGAAATTATTGTATATACTGACGTACAAGGCGTCTGGGCGTATAAAACGACCCCCAACTTTTCAAGTTAACATGTACGTTTTGCGTTATATCGCCGTACAAAACGACCCACATCCACCAAAAATCGTATTTTAAAATGTATCATATTGAATTTATTAAATAAATTCAGTAAGCTTATCATTTCTTTTCGCTCAAATTCTAAGGAAAACAAATGGTGGGGAGGAGATATTGTCAATGAACTACCAAAATCTACAATACCTCATGAGTGAGGGCTTTGTTTTTCAATCTTGAATCATCTTTTCTGTTACACCATAATGTCTTGCAGCTGCGCAGTTATTATGTTCCTTGGTAAAGTTTACTGCCTTCATTTTTAAACATGTTTCATATTTCCATTTATTACCGATAGTTAGTGGGGCCATGATGGGGTCTTGCGATAGCTGGATTCTAATAATTTTACCCTGGATAAAGCTAGTAATAAAATGAGAGCTTGCACCTCACCACGTGACGACAAGAACTGAGTAGTACGCTAAACTATGATTACCAATCTATTCATTGAATTATTACGATAAACAGCCTTTTTCCTGTCTGGCGAAAAGGTTTGAACGCACACAAGAGGAACAATTGCTTTTTTACAGGTTTTGGATTTCTCTCTTGACGAATATACGTTTTATTGTTGTCGTGCAATCATAGCACATATTATATAAGGTAAAAGTACTTTTATTACACTACACATTTACTATAATGTGAATTAAGTTGTTTCAGTAGAAAATATTTGTGCCGATAGCTACCAAGTCAGGGGTTAAACAACAGTCAAAAGTCACCCATGCTAACAACTTACCATAAACAACAGGATTTAAGATTCACCTTTTAAACACCGAGGATAAGAGGGCTCTCAATTTTTTTTCGAGGGGTTGATTTTTAAAGCTAAATAGTGTCCTTGAACGTCGACAGGCCTTAATAATTAGCCCATTGCTCGGGAGGAAGAGGTGACTTTATACCTTTTCCTAAAGATATTTGCGCGTAAGTGACTATAACAAAAGCCAACTGAAATTCGAATTCGGCTCTCCGATTATCAATTCTGAGCCTTTATCCATTACACCATCAGCGCATCCAAACTTAGAGCACATGTTATTTGCAATCGGTCACCCATCTAGGTACTGGCTAGTATCAGCGTTGCTTAACTTCGGTGTCAGTACGAGAACCACCTTGGGAAAGGTATAAATCCATCTCTTTTAACCCCCAGCTTTGAGTTAAGTAGCAGGACTGATTTGTCTATATAGCCTTGCTTGGTAACCTGTCTAGGAGAAGGAAAAATCTGACTTTAAACCAGCCTAGACAATGTTAGACGCCATCAGGCTGTCTTCGCCAGTAGATGTGGTGCTGCAGTAGTTATGGTGTCCCTACGACTCCAGAGGATTACGGGATTCGTGAAATCCTTTTCTCTAGTCGCACCTTCCAGTGTTTGTGTTTATGTTTGTGCAAATACGTAAACGGGTATTTTAGGAAAATCGGAAAACGCATCTGAATATTTGTTTTGCAATTTTTATTGTACCGTTTCAAAGATTACTTTATCGAATGTTTTTTTTCCGGATCTAGGAATGTTGATAGTTCCCTAATGATAATAAAGTTAGCGAGTTCTTCAACGTAGAATCAATCAATAGCTAAAACGTTATCGATTATCGATTCACTAATTGTGTTCGACGTTTGTGGGAAAAGCACTTGCTGGCAAAAAAAAAGAGAGAAAGAAAAATGTTATTAAACCTGTTTCTGAGAATGAATTAAAAAAAAACTCTGGACACAGCAAACTCAAGAGGAAGAAAAACAACAATAACGACCCAATGTCGAGTCGACAAGAATATGTTATTAAAATAATTGCTTCAAAAGGTACCAGCGAACCCGAGTGACCAGTAGCGAAGTGTTTTCTGTAGGTGCGACAGAATCTGGGGGGCAGAGAACAACACTTTGCCATTTAAATGTTCCTGACAATAAACAACAGCTTTTCTGCGTAACGTTTCTCTCCGTTGGGAACAATGTGTACAAGGTGCGAGAAATAAATTTAGATTGATTTGGAGAATGGAGTTGCGTTTTCGTTCTGCTTTGATTCATTTTCTTTATTGACCAGAATAATATATATATATATATATATATATATATATATATATATATATATGTGTGTGTGTGTGTGTGTATATATATATATATATATATATATATTCGTCAAATTATATATATATATATATATATATATATATATATATATATGTATATATATATATATATATATATATATAGGTTCCTCAAAATATATATATCTTAATGATTCAGTGTTTTTATATAGAAACACTCGTCAATTATATATATATATAGAGAATTAACTATATGGATAATATGAAATTATATATTTTGTTTCGATTCAAAAAAAAAAAGAATTATATATATATATATATATATATATATATATATATATATATATAGAGAGAGAGAGAGAGAGAGAGAGAGAGATTATATAGACAAATATATTATATAAATATATATAAACTCAACATAAAAGTCGTTACTACTCCATCCAAAACAATAAAAGACTTAGTCAATACTGAACAAAATAATAACCTAAAACCTAATGGAGGAATTTTCTCCATGGCCTGTAACAATTGTCACAAAAATACATTGGAGAAACCTTTAAAAAATCTAAATAAAAGATTATATGAACATAAAAGGGATATTTTACGAAACAATATGTCAAATGCGTTGGTTGCCCTCCGTAACGAGACTGACCACAAAGTTGACTTAAAAACGCTACTCTTATCAAAGGAGAAAACAATGAACGATGACGTATGTCTAGAGTACCTTAATCTCATGGTCATCTACAGTAAATTTGCGCCCTGTTTCTTTCAACATTTCACCATTCCTTTGCAGATATTCTGATATCTCAGAGATAACAAAAGTGATGGAAATAAAAGACTCTAAATGAATTCAGTCATGGAAATAAGTTTCCAGGTATCTTTGAAGGTCAATTGTTGTAATTTGTAAGACAGTCCTAGTTGAAATAATCATCCTTCAGATCTGGGCACATACAGACGATCAACATCAGCCTTGGGATGATTCATGCGGTGGCAGGTGAGAAGCTTTTTCTTTCTGACATTTCATTCGCTTAATGTCAGCTATGAATAAAAGCCTGGTGGAAGAAACGGTTTTGTTGCCAATAACCCAACGATTCGGAGGGTGGTATTGAGTTATATTGAGAGAGAGATATATATTAGTGTCCTAACGGACTTAGATAGATAGTGATATGTCCCGGAAAGGGACATATCCCTATCTATCTAAGTAGCTAACGAAGTAGCTAAGCGGTTTTGGCTAGTATAACCAAGTAGAATACGGTAGCAGTAATCGACTGGTACGCGTCGTAGTCGCAGGTAAGAAGTGTAGATCAATGGCGTAGTCCAATGGGCGTCGTTATAGACTTAGCTCTCAGATTAAGGCTCTTAACTCTCGTACCTACACATCCGTCGGTATTTATGACGGACACCAGCCAATCATATTCCAGTGAGGAGAGGAACACAGGTATTCCATTATATCAGATAGATAGATAGATAGATAGATAGGAACAGACTGAAATAGATAGATAGAGAGAGAGAGAGAGTATCTGAGTATCTGAGAGTATTCTGGGATTAACGTAGAAGTAACCAATTATTAATTTAACTCCTTGATTATTCAAACGTCAATATTCTAGCTTAGCTAAAAGCAGCGCTGCCCCAAATGTTTACAAGCAAACGATGAACTAATAAACATATTTTGTTTTAAATAACAACAATGTATTTCCACAAAATAACAATATTTGGAAAAATTGAGTAACTGTGAATGTTTGCGCGTGCGCGCGCGCGCGTGTGTGTGTGTGTGTGTGTGTGTGTACAAGTGATTGAAGTTCGTGTCAAAATTATTTACATTCTGGGCAGCGGTTGTTCAGGGAAAAGAAAAATGGAAAAAGAGTGAAAATTTTGAAAGTATGCCACTTTTTACAATCGGATTGGGTGATAGAGGGAGAGAAAGAGATATACAGAAATTAACTGTCCTAACAAACTGGGATAGATAGATAGATAGATAGATAGATAGATAGATAGATAGATAGATAATGAACAGGCTGACATAGATAGATAGATAGATAGATAGATAGATAGATAGATAGATAGATAGATTTGAACAAACTCACATAGATATATACGGATATATATATATATATGTGTGTGTGTGTGTGTGTGTGTGTGTGTGTGTGTGTGTGTGTGTGTGTGTGTGTGTGTGTGTTTGGCGTTCATTCCTACAAAGATACATTTCCTTTTTTTCTTTCAATACCGTGTATAAAAGCCGAATTCGTATACAATGCGACCGCTGAATTGTTTGCCCCCAGAAAAAAATATCTGTGTATACACAGCAACCGGTCACAGAGAATGCATGATTTTTAACATCTGTCATTATTTCTGAGATGTGGTATTTTCACTATTTACATTGTTTCGACTATTGTTCCCCTCTTTATTGCTTTATTTACATTTCCGACCTTCTTCAGATGATATTTTTGGGATCTCTTTATCTTGTCCACGGGCGTAGATTGTTGTAATTCCACGTACAGTGCCTTTGGATAATCCAGTTTTAGTTAAATACCCTTGATATTTCCCCGTGAATATAACAATAAAGATGAAAGACAACAGACCGAACAATGTAAATGATTATTAAAATCTTTAAAAAAATTAACTGTGTATAGTACGTAAAAAAATGTTCATAATGCCTCGCACTATACTCGTGTATCTACGGTAATTTGTAGGGTTTTATTTTGATTAATTACCGTATATACTCACGTATAATGCGACTTCGAAAGTCTTAATTTTGTAGCTAATTTTAAGAGGGTTGCATCATACACGTGATATAAAATTAGCGTATGTACTCCTGGCCCTGACTACTCCGTTGACCAAACTCTATATCCATTTACTGTAATCAAAAAGTACAGCTGTATTTAAAATAAACATGAGTCTCATAAAACTGATGTTTTACTTAACTGTATCCAATATAAATGTATGTATAATATAATATATTAGTATCGTATTATAAAATATAAACATAACGAAAATGCATCTTTTCCATTGTTTAAATTTATAAGATGTTTACCTGTTTCTCGTTCGGTTGTTTATGACTGTACGCGTTTACGCAACGAGTATAGCGTTACTAACGATACTTTTATCCTTCTCTTTTACTTTTTTAACTAGAAAATGGGATAAAGAGATAGAGGAGTAGAGGTTAGTCTATTGTAATTTGGTCTATCAGAAAAAATGGACACGCATGATACATGAGATACATGATAAAATAATTTTTTATAAGTGAAAATTTAGGGGTCGCACGATAGGCGAGATCGCGCGTTACACGAATATATAATGTATTCTTATTTATTCTTGCTATTCAGAGTCAATCCAAAGATATGAGAATTAGAAGATTCCTTTTTGTTTCAAAAGAGAATTATTTCACATGACATTTCGAAAAGTATGTGGAAAAGAAAAAAAGAAGTTCAAGAGAATAGTGGCAAAGAGGAGGGACTAAAATGCCGAGAGGGCAAAGATGAAAGACTCAACCTCTTAGCGAGCGAGATTTCTTGAGAATCAATTCGAACTTTTTTTTCTCTTTATCGGAGATTACGGAAAAACAGGATATTGAACCAAATTCGATGTTACATCGCTCCAGATCGGCAACTACTGTTTCAGTGAACAATGTATAGCATATCTGTGACGAGGAAGTTTTCACTATAATTGTCGGAAGCGGGGGCGGGGGAGAGAGAGGGAGGGAGAGAGAATACTAACTCCTATAAGTGAAAGAACAAGCGTTGGTGGGTCAACCTGTCTATACAACGCAGACACTGCTTCAAGCCACAAAATGTTTAGACGATAGAGAATCTCGCCTTAGGTCGTTTGCAATTAAGGAATAGTCAATTTAGTTACAGAAATAAAGAGATTTAGATAGATATGAATAAGTATAGATAGATAGATAGATATGATCAAGCTCAAATCGGTACAGATAGAAAAATATGAACTGCCCTGAGATAGATAGATAGATAGATAGATAGATAGATAGATAGATAGATAGATAGATATGAAGAGACTGGGATAGATAGATAGATAGATAGATAGATAGATAGATAGATAGATAGAATAGCTTTGAACAAGCTCAAATAGATAGAGAAGGAGAAAGAGATAGAAATATATGAACTACCCTAACATAGATAGATAGATAGATAGATAGATAGATAGATAGATAGATAGATAGATAGATATGAACAAGCTCAGATAGATAGAAAAGGAGAAATATATAGAAATATATGAACTACCCTAAGATAGATAGATAGATAGATAGATAGATAATGAATAGTCTGATATATATATATATATATATATATATATATATATATATATATATATATATATATGTGTGTGTGTGTGTGTGTGTGTGTGTCAGAGATTACAGAAAGACACTGTATTGGACCAAATAAGATGTTACGGTGATTCCGTCTCTCCAGATAAGCAAATATTGTTTCAATGAACAATGTAGGGCATATCTGTGACGAGGAAGTCTTCACTATTATTATCGATGGCGGCCGAGTTGGGTTAAAATAGTAATTCCAATAACTCAATTGACTGAAACAAGAAACGATGGTGTGTCAGCTTTCACATATGCGATGACTTCAATGTTCACCAAAAAGTGTGGTTAGTCCGCTCCAACAAAATCGATGTGGAGGACAGATATTGCAGAGACTTCATCCTCGTCTAGGAACTAAAACAGATCATTGAAAAACTTCGGATGCGACGGGACAGCATGCGAACCTCGTCGACCTTTTCCTAAAATCCTGCCCTGACATATACTCAAAAAAATTTTAGCCACCTCAGATCATTCGCTAGTCAGTGTCCAGATTGACTCCAAACCAATGACGTCCTCTAATTTACCGTTCCCTAGAACGGTTTTTCGCTATGCAGACTGGAAGAGTTTTCGGTCCTACAAGACGGAGCTTCTCTCCCAAACTTCTTCAAACATGCTGCTCCCAAAACTGCTGCACTAATCTCCTAATGGATCCTTTCTGGAATGGTGAGTTTTATACAAAAAAAAAAAAAGATTCAAGCAAAAACCATTCATCCCTGGTTCACCCCTGAATACGCTGCAGCCATAGCTCACGGGAATCATTACTTCAAAATCAATCACAAGTGTAGTCTGACACTTATTTCCTTCAAAACCACCTGCAATCGCTGTAATAGAGTCCTGGAAAATGCAAAGTGCGGCTACGCGCGGTCCTGGCCAAGTTGAAAATAAACAAATTGGATTTCGCGAATTCTGGAAGATGACCAACCAAATTATGAATAGAGTCTCCCGAGGCCATATCCACCTCGACAGACAAGGCGAAGCTCTTCGCCTCGATCTTTGCCTCAAACTCAACGTTAGATGACAAAGGCTATCCTCTTCACAACTTCCCACGTCTCACTCAGGAATATCTCAATAATATACTGATTTCAGCATGAGAAGTCTCTAGACTTATCAAAAGCCTTGACCCCCCGAATTCCACTGGCCTAGAGAAAATTCTAGTGGTCGTCCTTAAGAATATTAACCCAGAATTATCCCCGAATCTAGCAAAGTTATTTAAACGCTACTTGAAGGAGAAATCTTACCCAAGTATGTGTAAGGTGGCAAGCATATTCCCCGTTCTTCAGAACGCGAGAAATTGATCCTCTCCTCCAAGTCTCTGCAGTATGATCAGTAAGCTTTTTGAGGCCTTAAACAAAAAGTAGGTCGACGAGCACCTGGATAAGACCAACCTCTTGTGCGACAAGCAGTATGGGCTTCGATCAACCCGATCCACTGCTGATGTCCTTATACCGCACATATCGTAAGGACCATGACATTAGATATTTCGAAGGCCTTTGACAAAGTGTGGCACAATGATTTGCTATACAAGCTTTCCAGCTATGGAATCACTGAAAGTTTTTTTTTTTATTATAATATCCTTCCATCAAATAGATTCCTGAAGGTAGTTATTAACGGCCAGTCCTCCGAGGCCCTGTAGGTCAACACAGTCGTCTCCCAGGGCTTACTTCTAGGACCAGCCCTCTTTCTGATTTACATAAATGATCTACCTAAGAATATACTCCAATGATTTGTTAACGATTATGTCAGTCATACGACGATATATACGGGTGAACCTCTAAAAGTTTTGATGATCAGAGATTGGCAACCGACCTCTCTTCCGATCTAGCACTATCTTTCCAGTTGGGAAAAACTGGCTGGTTACATTCAATGCCTCTAAAATCAAACTGGTTACCATCTATCACCGACGATAAAACCCTGAACTACCGCCAATCACGATGAATGGATGTCCCCTCGAGAGGTTATTGGCCACAAATGCACACTACCTCAAGTGGAATACCTATATACCATCCATCGCTAAAGATGCAGTTAAAATAATCGGCTCCTTGTACCCTTCCAGTAAGTAACTGACTCCTCATGCTATCCACTACCATTAAAAGAGCCAACTCAGGCTGAAAGTTGAATACGGTTGCCATATTTAGGCAGGAGCTGCGCAGAAGTCACTTTGCAGCCTTGATAGAGTTCAAAAGCGTCTCCGAGTCCTTGTTGGAGAAGAATTATTTTCCACCCTCAAGCCTCTCCCTCACAGGCAGTGTGTGGCGAGTCTCTCACTGCTCTATCGCTACTATCATGGAAAGTGCTCGTATGAACTGCATTTCTTCGTTCCGCCATGAGTGACCATCACGATTAGAACCCGCCATGCGACATATCAAATCAACCAAATTTCCACCATATTCCATCGGTGAGAAGTAAGCTCCACCCAAACAGCTTCTTTCCGTGGACTACTGCTCTGTGGAACCGACTCCAAAGATAATATTTCCCTGATCACTACAATCTTAACTTCTTCAAATCTAGGTTAACCGTTATCCCCCCACTATCCATATATACCCCTTAGCGAATGCCTCTATCTCGATTGACCCCAGTCCTTGTACAGACAGAATCTTACTTGTAAAATAATTTGAAACCATATATTTTTTTGGCATATGAATTTTTAAAACAGTTTCTGAATCTTTGATTGTCTTTCAGTCATTCCGCCTCACCTGTTATCCTCTTCTAACGCACCTATGAGGCTCGGCGTACCGTTTGGGAACCACTGTAGGGAGTTATTTCTCACTGTGGGTCGTTTGGAATTAGAGAATAGTCACTTTAGTTACAGAAATAAAGAGATTTAGGTAGATATGAATAAGGTCAGATAGATAGATAGATAGATAGATAGATAGATAGATAGATAGATAGATATGAACAAGCTCAGATAGATAGAGAAAGGGAGAGAGGTAGAAAGATATGAACTGCCCTAAGATAGATATGGACAGACTCAGATATATATAAGCCCAGTTTGATAGATATAGATAGATAGATAGATAGATAGATAGATAGATTAGATTCCAACTAGGATATATATATATATATATATATATATATATATATATATATATATATATATATATATAAATTTATTCGAAAATTATAACATAAATATGCTATAAAATCGCTACAAAAATAGCCATTTTCTTTCAACACACACACACACACACATATATATATATTATTACAATTTCCTATATCTATATATATATATATATATATATATATATATATATATATATATATATACACACACATATATATATTATTACAATTTCCTATATATATATATATATATATATATATATATATATATATATATATATATATGAAAATAATATATATATATGTGTGTGTGTATCGGACTGAGATAGATAGATAGATAGATAGATAGATAGATAGATAGATAGATAGATAGATAGATAGATAGATTTGAACTGTATGACTGTTAGGAATTGATAAGATATGCAACAACATCCTACCTTAACAAACAGCATTCCAAATTTTAACAATTAAATTTATTAACAGTACTTGTCCAATACTTGTCCAGCGACCAACGTGTGATTTGCTACCTGTGATCTTGTGCTTCCTACGAAAACGGTTAATACGTTTACCATTCAAAAACAGGATTGAGTAAAAAATACCCCGACCCCCCCAAAAAAAAAAAATAAGGACTAAATACGCTTTCTAATAGCCATATTGCAAAAATAAGATCGGATGATAAAAGTGAATAACAAACAAAAAACAAAAAAAAATCGCTGAAGCTTTTTATGTTATTCTGCTGTCAGACGTCGTTATGGCAACCATTCTATTGCCGCATTAGCTAAGGATAGGGGATTATTTAGAAATATAGCCTTGTTCTTCTCATCAATAATTCAAGCTATGATTTCAAAATAATTCTCTTTCTCTCTCTATTTTTTTCTCTATCTCACTGTTTGTCTGTCCGGCTACGAATGAATATATCTACCGTTTACACTCTCGTGTCATGCGACTTTTGAAGACCTGATTTTGAAGGTAATATTAAGAGGGTCATATCATATACGAGATATAAAATTAACGTATGAGCCAGCAGTACATACGCTAATTTTATATTTCGTGTATGACACGACCCTCTTAAAATTAGCTTGAAAATTAGGTCTTCAAAAATCGCATGAATACGTGGAATTACAACAATCTGTTCGCCCATGGACTAGATAAAGGTTTCGGTTCGAAATTCCAACAAATATCACTTGAAGAAGGCCGGAGAGTACAACATCGTAAATATGGCAATAAAGACGAGGACAAAAGTCCGAACATAGTGAAAATATCTCATCTCAGAAATATAAACTGATGTTAAAAATCATGAGTTCTCTGAGACCTGTTGCCTATATACATAGATCATTTTTCAGGGGGCTTTAAAATCAATGCAAACAATTCAGCGGTCGCACTGTACACGGAGTCGGCTTTTATACACGACTATATACGGTATTTAAAGAAAAAAGGAAGTGTACCTTTGTAGGAACCAAGACCAAAAAAATATGAAATAATCAGGAACATTTATAGCGGACGTGGATTATCTCCCTTAAACATGTAGTAACCTGATCTCTCTCTCTCTCTCTCTCTCTCTCTCTCTCTCTCTCTAGTATATACGGTAAATATTTTTATTAAAAAACAATTTCAGTGCTGCCTTGTTATAACGTTTTTATCTGGCTGTGCAGGCCTATTTGTGGGAAAATAGGAAATTGCCATTTACAGCAGCGCCATCAGTCTTTTTGTGACACAATCTAACAAGTAAAGCCACAAGTTGATGTTAAAAACTGCAAAACGATTTTCTCACGGACCGGGAGGGTTGGGCGTAGTCAGTTTCGGTCACGCGCATAAAAAAAAAAAAACATAATAAACAAAGCCGCCATCGTCAATAAAATGGAAAAGGAAGAAGTTTTTATTCTTTCTGTCCGGACCGGTGTCAAATGGTCCACGACCCGGTGGATGATGGAAAATAGGAAATTGTCATTTACAAGAAATAAAAAACAATAAAGATACCGATTTTTTTTTTGTCATGAATGCCAGCTACTGATCGTATACTCGGCAATACTGTTTAAACTAATTGACACCGCCCCATTCGGCCGGTGCGTACTACCACGGAGGGCAAGCCTTTGTGATCCTCGCTATCTTGTCATCATTTTTCTATCTACAGACAATAAAAATATATATATATATATATATATATATATATATATATATATATATATATATATATATATATATGTTACAAAAGTAAACTAAGCAGTGCTATTAAAGTAGAAAAGGTTTTCGCGGATAATGACGTCATTCCGTAATTTTGCTAAGTCTCATGCTAAGTGTCGAAAAAACACTATATAAAATTTTACGCTTTTTTTTTATCTATAATGAAGAATGTGTTAAATTATTCAATTTTTTTAACAAGTAAAGCCACAAGTTGATAATAATAACTGCCGCAAAACATTGTTGATTTATTTAAGATGGAATGATTTATTATGTCTTTAATTTGTATCTAGATACACCGCATTTATGTTCAATTCTATTTAATATGAGAGTAGCAGCAGCAACCAACGTATAAGTCAGAGTTTCATCCCTTTGGTATTTTTCACTAAATCATAATGTCAGTTTAGGAACCAGTAACAAACATGTCCCAAACAATTTTGATATGCTTTTGAATATTTACTATACAGGTGGGTAGGGGAAAGTTTTCCCATGTGAAATTGGTCGATGGCTCAAAAAGAGTTGAGAACCCCTGGTTTACCACAATATATAGCTAAAAAGAGAGAAAAACGAAAACCAATCTAAAAGATGGTCTGCAGCCGATGGCGGCGATACTATCCATCTGTTCTGATTGGGAAAGTATTGTGTATTAGGAGCTCGTTCCGCAAAACCATATGTTGAATTCAGAAACCGCCTTGTCGGGTGGGGCTTCATAATATCCCGACTACATATCTGCAGACAGGTAAGACCCCCACCCAATGAGGCGTCCTGTGTATGACGATAAACTACATCCGGCAGCAAGGCCTCTGATCAGGAAGTTTTGAGGAGCATGGAACAACTTCTTAATTGTTTTGGTCCCAGGTACATCCTGACCCGGGGTGGTAGCACCTGTTAGGGTCCGAACTACGGCAAATAGTTACGACCACCACAAACTGGCGTCAAAACACTATGAATACATTTTATAGTAAAAATACCAGCAATACATTTTGAGGAAAGAGATATTACCAGCGATTCATTTGACTCTCGAGAAAAACCTTGTTTACAAAAATACGTCAATGAAACCTGATCTACAAACTGTTTTCTAACAAAGAATACATGTTCTATTCACACGAACCTATCCTTAAAATTCTGTCGGTATTAAATAACCCATTGAGGTTGATATGCCGTAAAACAAAATAAATCTAGATCCTGATCTACAAACTGATTTCTTACAAAGAATATATATTCTATTCATATAAACCTATACTAAAACCCTTGTTGGCATTAATTAACCCATTGATAGACTGTAAAACAAACCAAACCAAACCAGAATTCAGAAAAGTACTGTTTGAAGTTGGAACCAATTGTAAGCCAGCAATCAATGAGAATCGTCCGAAATTATACAATCAATAAGGTGCTGTGTCTTATCAAAACAATGCCAGACCGCACGTCTCATCACAAACCTGGTAAAAAATCAGTACAGTTTGGATGTGATTTCCTACTACAAGAACACGTATTCTACTGACCTTGTGAGTCCTAGATATGACGATAAACTACATCTGGCATCAAATCCTCTGATCAGAAGATTGGAGGTTTTGAGGAACTTGGAACCAGCCCTAAATTACTGTTGTTCCCAGGTTCAACCTGACCCGGGGTGGTAGCAACTTTTAGGATTTCAAAGTCACTGTCCCATCTGAGGTACTCTCGCAAGTGGTCCGACCGCCCGTGGTACGACCGCTCGGGAAGGATTCGAGAGGGTCGAATGGAATAGTCAAATAGTTGAAAGTATAAAAATACGTTTTTATATATATAAATAAAAAGACTACCAACAGTACTATCGTATAGCAATTTATAGTAAAATGATCTACTATGCATTTTAACTGTAGTTCAATTTAGTTCGAAATATGTTTAGATGATGCCATAAAATTGTATTCAAAGTATTTAGGTTCCAGCATTAAATAACCCATATTTACCGCTAAAAAATCAACCAACCAACCTGATCTTGTTCCGCTTATTTCATTCCTTATAATTGTTATCCGAATGGGAACAATTCTTTGGAAGCCATTATAATTAGTTGTTTTTCTTACTGGTTTACGGCTGGCCATATCACATTGAAACATCGGTTCTTGTAGGGGACTGGCGATTTGGCAAAGTGAGAAATTCTGCTAATGTCTACTAGGTATGTGAAGTTGTGGAGAGCCATGATTGCCCACATTCTGAAGTGACACGGCATATAGAAGAACGTTTATTTTTTTATCTAAATTTATTTAAACATTTTTATTTTCAACTTTTTCACCTTGTACGAGTTAAGCAACATCAAGTTTGGTCAGTACCTAGATGGGTGACCACGTGGGAATACCAGGTGCTGTAAGCTTGAATGTGCGAGTGGTGTAATGGATAATGACTTGGAATTGTTAACTGAATAGCCGAGTTCCAACTCCGGTCGGGTTCGTTATATTCATTTACATGCAAATACCGTTGGGAAAAGGCATGAAGCCACCTCTTCTCCCCCAGCTATGGGTTAATTAGTAGGACTTGTATCAGTAAATCATTATTATCTCCCAAAATAATTAATTTTGTTTAGTGATTATCAACTGCTGTGGGTTATTTAATGCCGAAATCTAAATATTTTTGACACAATCTTATGACTACAGATAAAATACGTTGCCATAAAAATATATTTTTATACTTTAATATTGTTTTTATTTGGTGTGGGGGTCACTATTTGCCCATCGCTGGGACCCAAATAGGTGCTACTACCCCGGGTCAGCACAGCAATTAAGAGGTGGTTACATTCTCCTCAAAAACTCCAATCTCCCGATCAGAGGCCTTGCTGCTGGATTTAGTTTATCGTCACACCCAGGATTATTCGTATAAAAAAAAAAAACGTTGATAAAAAGGAAAGTAAAGCAATGAAATGATACCTTGATAATTTTATCTCCATATTTAATGCTACGATGAGTTTTAAAAATAATGTTCCTTAATCACTGATATTGATCAAGTAGAGAAAATAGATATATATTTCTCGAATATTCAGACAGTAGATGAAAATAAATATACTGTTTAATAAATAAATTTGGACTCCTACTCAAACAAGAGAATTTTGGAGAAACTGACTGTTGGTCAGTCGGGAAAGGAGCAGTGTACATACCTTGTGTTTTTGAAATCCTTACTATACAAAAATCTTGTTATTATCTTTACTAACCTTTCATAATTACAGCGGTCACGTGACAGTGTTACCACGCGATCCCTGAAGTTGTATAAAAGGAGAGGATTTTTTATTATTAAAATTACCTTT